GGCTGCCTCCCAGGCCGCAGACCCAGCTGCCCCTCAGCTGCTCCACCGCGGAGCCGTTTCCCTCCAGAGGGGCCCCTCCCACTCCACCTGGGCCCCCAAACCCCATCCTCTCTCATGGGCCAGGGAACTCAGGCTGCCACTCCCACAGCAGGAGCTGGGTGCCCACACTCCCTCCTGTCTGGAGCATCGCCCCGTCACTGACCCTGCCATCTGTAGGACGCAGAGCATGAGGCAGCATGTCAAGGGCTTCATACACAGCACTTCATCCCATCCCCCTCACCACTGTCAGTTCCATGTCACAGGTGAGGCGACTGAGGCTCAGAGAGATTGAGTGACCTGCCCAAGGCCACCCAGCTGGCAGGTGGCAGAGCCAGGGTTGGAACTATTCCTGATGGCTGGCCCCAAAGCCCCATAAACTTGTTTCCATGTTACACTGTCCCTTTGAAATAGAATTTATGTTTTTAGACCAATTTCAAGTTCACAACAACATTGAGCAGAAGGTTCAAAGATTTCCCATGTATTCCTTGCACTGTCAAGTAAAACCCCTTAAAAAAATAAACTTGTTATAAATGCCGTTTGCAGCGACTCCACTAAACTTTAGCTAGGTATCATTTTGATCCTAAAACTTCCCGTCTAGGTATATCCCCTAATGAAATAATAAGAGAGTTGGTCATTGTAAGACAAAGATTTATGCACAAAAATACTCTTTGAAATATTACACTTACAACACAAGAGCAGGCCCTGGCTGGTGGTGTTCAATGGTCAGAGCGTTGGCCCATGCATGGAGGGGTCGAGAGTTCAATTCCCGGTCAAGGGCACATACCTGGGTTGCAGGCTCAATCCTTGGCCCTGGTCAGGGTGCATTTGGGAGGCAACCAATGCCTCTCTCACATTGATTTTTCTCTCTCCTCCCTTCCTCCCTCTCCCTCCCACTCTCTAAACAGCAATGAAAATAAAGGGGACATATATAATACTTTCAGCAACAAAGAACTATTCAAAAAAATAAAAGTAATGTATATTTTAATTTCCATTGTAAGATTAATTGGATTTGAGGGAAGCAACTTTATTTTGGGGGAAGAGTAGAGTTATTAGAATTTTATCAATTTCCTCATAAAAAAAGGCAATGAAAAAATATCAAAAACAAATGCAAGAGCAATTATAAACAACCCAATTGCTCAATGCTAGGGGAAGAGTTAGATTAACTCATCTTTGGCATATTTATGTTAGTCAATATTATGCAGCAGATTTTCAAATCATGTTTTCAAAGAATGTTTAGTGACATGGGATGTAGAATAGAGTTTGCTTCAGAGTGTGGGCTGTGAAGGCAGACCCCCTGGCTTTCAACCCTGACTAGGTCATTCAGGAGTTGTGTGACTTGCACCAAATTACTTAATTCCCTAATTCTCAAGTTCCTCCTGTACAATGAGGGTGATAATACCTCGGAGGGGTCCCGTGATATTTAAAGAAGATAAACCACGAAGTGGATTTAGCACCGTTCCTTACACAGCAAGTCTTTGAACCACGGAGTTTCGCTCCATGTTGTTTCCTTATAACACTGATGGGGAAATAAAATCGATTCCTGGCGGGGCTGCTTCTGTGAGGAGTTTGCACGGTCTCCCCACATCTGGCTGGGTTTTCTCCAGGGACTCTGGTTCCTCCCACCTCCCAAAGAGGAGGTGAACTGAGGATCTACATCTGCCCCAGTCTGAGTGAGGGTGGGAATGGGTGTGATGGAAGGGTGTCCTGTCCTCCTGGGCCAGGGCTGCTGGGGTGGACTCCGACCACCTGTGACTCTGAACTAGAAAAACTGGGTTGGAAAATAATTACCTTATTTGTTTTTCTTCTTCTTTTTTTGAAGTTTAGCAAGTGTTTTCTGTGTGTTTTTTTAAATTTTTATTAAATCTTTATTGTTCAGATTATTACAGTTGTTCCTCTTTTTTTCCCCCATAGCTTCCCTACCTTCTGCCCTTACCCTCCCCCATCACTCTCCTCATCCATAGGTGCACGATTTTTGTCCAGTCTCTTCCTGCACCCCCACATCCCTTTCCCCCGTGAGAATTGTCAGCCCACTCCCTTTCAATGCCCCTTGATGTTTAGATTCACTTGTTGATAGATGTGTCTTTGTTGTTCATAATTTGTATCTTTACCTTTTTCTTCTTCTTCCTCTTCTTAAAGGATACCTTTCAGCATTTCATAGAATACTGGTGGTTTGGTGGTGATGAACTCCTTTAGCTTTTTCTTATCTGTGAAGCTCTTTATCTGACCTTTAATTCTGAATGATAGCTTTGCTGGGTAAAGTAATCTTGGTTTTAGGTTCTTGCTATTCATCAG